ACCTCAACCCTGCAAAAGCGAAACACTTTTCTTTGAGTCAAAAGCTGCAGAGGTCTGTGTTCCAGAACAGTGACAGCATAAGAAATGCCCTCCTCAGGGATTCAGAGTGCCCAGCAATCCGGGCACTTGATCCCTACAACCAAGAGAGAGGAAAGCCTGGCTACCACTCAAACTGGCAGCAGACCTTGACATCATCCACATGGTGCTGGGGTTAGGTGCATACAGAATGCAAGAGTTCTGAGTTTAAAAAGGCTTTCGCCTTGATTTCTGAAGATCTGGGAGGCCAGGCCATGTGCCCCGGTGAGGGGGGTGTGACGCTGTGAATGTGATCCAAAGATGCAGTGGAGACCCCAGAAGCTTGGAAAAGCCGAAAATGTGGATCCTCCTAGGAAATCTGCAAGAAGAGAGCAATGCAGGTGTCAGAGGGAAGGTGGGGGGTGTGTGTGAGGGGGCTACAACCACCAGAAGTGCCCCTGGGGATAAAACTACACAAGCCCTCTGGAGATCACAATTTGCCACACATTGTTTCAGATGCTACATCTGCAACTACAGGATTTAATGTTTGTCCCGCTGGATTTTGGACTTGCTTTGATCCCAAAGCTTCACATCCCCCTGTTTGTACCTTTGGGAATAAAAATGTTTACCTTGTGCCACTGCATGTTGGAAGTGTAACTTTGTTTTTGTTTGCAGCTAGGAGTTTGTTTTCCTTTTGGGAAGAGACTTGAACTATTCAGCAATGCTGCAACTGTTATGACTTTGGCAACTCTTGCACATGGACTAAATGCCTTTTGCATAAAGAGATGTGCATGAATCTTTGCAGGGGCCACGGGAAATGTTTTTTTTTTTTTTTTTGCTCATTGGCTTGCTGACTTCTGCCACCTTGCAGTGTTGCCCCAGTGCCAGGCCACCCTGCCTTGGGGCCAGCTGATTATGGACGGAAACCTCCTCAAACAGTGAGCTAAATAACCCTTTCCTTCCTTCATTTTGGGTGTCGAGTATCTTGTCCTAGCAACTAGAGAAAAGAAACCAAGACAGTGAGTGACCTTGAAAGAGACCCCTAAGAATAAATATGGTAAAAGAATAAATATGGTAAAAGGCATGAAAGACATCTGCAGACAGACGGATAAAGCATTGGTAGAACTTTTAGACTGAACGATTAGAAACTCCAAAGTCAAGGCTTAATATTCTCAGTTTTATCTAGATAGTATCCTTGCTAACTAATACTTGTAAGTCTTTGTGTTTCAGTGGAAATTGTAGAAAAGGTCAAGGGGAGCTGTAACTTTTGATAAAAAGAGAAAAGTGCTTTTCTGCTAGACATGAAGAATTGTAAGGCTCTAGTAATTAAGACAAGGCAGTGTTCACTCTAGGATACAGAGTCAGATCAATGGAAGGGAACAGGATTCAGAAACAGAGCCACACATACCGGACCTGGGGTGGTGTTAGGATTGGGAAACTGTGGTCCCTTAAGTGTGCGTGCGATAACTGCACCTTCACACGGAAGACTTGGAAATGAATCCCTCCCTGCCTGCTAACCTGGATGAGAAATGCCTCTTAGTTGCATGTGGTTTTGTGTCATGGCCATGAGCTCGTTCAAGAACCACTGCCGTGAAGCTTTTCCCTGTGTGTTTTCTTCTGGGAGTTTCTTCTCAGTCTTCTGTTTAGGTTTTTATTCCATTTTGAGATGAACATTGCTTATGGTGTGAGGTAAGAATCCAGTTTCTCCTTTTTTTGCATGTGGAGGTCCCATTTTCTCAGGATTACTTGTTAAAGAAACCGTCCTAACTCCAATATGTCCTTTTTACAAAATTTGCCAACAATTAGTTGATCATTTTGAGCCTCAGTTTTGTCCAAAATCGAGTGACCTGTGCACAACTCACGCAAAATCCACAAACACAGTCGGGGCCGCACTATAGTAAGGAGACAGTCAGCAAACTGTGTACCTCGTGAAGACTTCATCTCCAAAATATTTGCAAGGCATCTGTCTGATCAAGCATTGGTCCCTAAAATATATAAGGAACTTGTAATTACAGCGTGATAAGAACAGCAAAAGCAGCAGTGGCTGGTGACCTGATTAAAAATAAGCTAAGGACTGAATGAATAGAGATTTCTCCAAAGGAAGCATATGAGCGGTGTCTGGCCTGTGGAAAGATGTTCAGCGTCACCAATCAATAGGAAAATCCAAACCACAATTAGATTTCACCTCCCTCCTGCTGGGATGGTGATCACAGAGGAAAGCCAGGTGGTGAGGATGTGGAGGAAAAGGAACTTTACAGGAGGCTGTTGGTGATTCAGAATGGAGCAGCCACTATGGGAAGCAGACCTGGAGGTTCCTGGAAAAAATAAAAATGAAAACCTTCCATGCAACCCAGCCCTGCCGCTTCAGGGTGTTTTGCTAAAAGAACTGATGTCAGGACACGGGAGAGATGTTACCAGCCTGTGTCCTGAGGCCACCGTTCACAACAGCCCAGAGACAGGAACTACTTCCTGAGACAGGGCGCCGGTCCCTCTCAGGACCTCTTCTCCTCCGGCAGCTCCATCTCCTAACCTAACCTGCTGGGCCCTGTTGTGTCCATAGGAGAAGCTGGGCCTGCAGCCCACAGGCTTTGGAGGACCCAGTCCTCCTGTGTGTGCAGAGGTCGGGTGTGGAGTGTGGAGCTCGTACTGAGGGCCTTGGGCCAGGGGGCCTCAGGGTAAGATCTGGTGTGTGTGTGGGTGTTGTTCACTTCAGGAGAGTTCCATATACAGGTTTTAACACCCAGGAGGATCCCAGGAGACGCTCTCCCTGCCGTGGCTACCAGGTGGTGTCCTGGGAAGGACTTGGCTTGCGGATGGCGGTGGCATTGATAGGACCCGGCAGAGTGGGGCCAGGCAAACACAACCACTGCAGGAGGAGCGAGGTTGTAGGGCAGCACCCCATGGCGCAGAGCACCCCATGGCACAGAGAGTTGTAGATGTGGTTCATCCTACCTGGTATCAGCCAGTGGTCAACCAGAAAGGACACTTCTCAGCCTGGGCCACTAGAAGACGTCAAAGCCGGAGGCCCAGGTGGCTCAGGTCACTTAGGCAGCAATGCTGTAGGGAATGGAGGACACCTGACTACCAGTGACCAGAGATCCAGGGCTAGTGCTGCATGAAACCCGAGGTGTCGTCAGGCTCTGCCCCCATCAGACCAGGTAGGAAACAGGGTTCACCTCACACAGGCTCACAGTGCACACACAGTGGCCATAGACCTGCCTGGAGGTCACTTCTCTGTCCTCTGAGTTTATATTCAGGGAGGACTTGGTTGGCTAAAGGGGCGGCCCTCCATTAGCCTGTGAGTTAATGGACTAAACACCCTGGAAGGCTGTAGAGATGTCCCCAAACTGCCACTTCCATGGCCACGATGGCCGATCAAAAGTAGCATGATAGCTAGGCATGGCAGCACACTCCGGCCACCCCTGCCCTCTGGGAGGCTGAGGCGGGAGGCCTGGAAGCCTGCCTCAGCCCGGTCTGCTGTGTGAGTTGGTGAGGCCCTGTCTCAAAAGCAGAAGAAAATGAACTGTGGACGTCCCTCAGGGTGGATGGAGACCCTAGGTTCAATGCCCAGCACCACAAACCATCCAACCAACTCCACGATGAGCAATCGACCAATATCACACCCCAGGGGCAGGGAAGGATGGAGACTGCCTCCTCCCTCAGGATGAAAAGGGTCACCTCAGGAAGACCTAGGCTGCAATAGGAGTCGCCCTCCCTTGGGATGTCCATGATGGTATGGAGTATCCATCACAGTTTATGGGACCCTCCGGGCAGAGAATCATAACTCAGACCTCTAGGGCTCTGGACGAACCCTTGTCATTGACAGAAAAAGATTCTACTGCCTTTGAAAGACAGTCTTGTGCAGCCTGGTGTATCTGGAGGCTCGATCACGTGACAGTGCGGCTCTTTGGTTAAGGTGCTTGTTACCAAGCCCTGTAATCTATTGTTGACAGTGGCATTGCTTATGGATGTGGGATGCTCCCAAAGGGCCACACATGTGGGCCCTCCATGCAGAAGGACACATGCAGCTGTTACGTGGGACGCCCCAGTTTCCTTCTCAGCGCCAGGCGTGTGTTGGTTGGCCTGCTGTGGCACCCTGACTGCACGCGACTTCCTTCCTGGTGTGTGAGAACAGAGCCCGCGTGATGCAGCAGCTGGAGATGGAGGCATCAGAGAAGCAGGACAGAGCAAAGCCTGCCTGTGGCCACCTGGCTGAGCAGCAACTCAGGCGCCAAGAGCCTGTTTGGTCCTGCGGTACGATGGGAGTTTTGCATCCTGGACAGTTGTCAGTGAATCACTGGTATCAGCAGCAGCAGAGCAAGTTCGTGTGAACCAAGGAAGCTGCTCTTTAGCCCAGGGGTCCCCTCTTGGGCACAGCTGTCCCAAGCTCATGCCACGTAAGCCACCCGTGGAAGTCTATGATTTCTAGTGGTTGCGTTAAAAAAAAAGATGAAACAAAGTTCATTTAGATTGAAAGCCATAAATCAAAACACATCGCTTTACCATGCAAGCAATTTTAAAAACCATCAGTTGCCCAGAATTTGACATTCATTTTTTAAAAATTTGTGCATCCTAGAGACACAGACGAGGGTGCTTCTCTCTGGGTTCTCTCCCCTGCCGCACCCCACTTGCCTCTAGTGACCTCACTGGGGATTGACTCTAGGGGGTACCCTGCCACCAAGATACACCTCCACCCCTCTTTGTTTCTAAAAGTTGCCGAGGCTGGCCTTGAACTTGCAGTCCTTCTGCCTCATGTCACAAGTGTCTGAGGCACCGCAGGTTTTGGAAGTAACTGAAACCATCAAATATCCAAATGTCAGCTCCACAAGGACAAGGAACTTAGTCTGCTTCATTCATTGTGTTCCCAGCGCCAGACCTTAAACAGTGTCTTTTCAGTGCTTAGAAAATATCTGCATTGGGACCACGAACACACACGTTTGTTCCTCCTGGCGCTGTGGCTTGAAGCTCATGAACACCAACACACGTCTGTTGCAGTTTTTATTGGCATTGATCATGAGTCAGATACATGTGGAAATCAAGGCTGAATGCCACTCGCTTATCTAAACCTCTCTGGCTGTCTCTTGGGCCTCCTGTCCCCCCTCAACTCCCCTAGATGCCTAACGGTCACAAGACGGTGCACCAGGATTGCTGGTCCTGTGGAGCTGTCATGCGCGGGAAATCAGGGCCTGGATGTGGGCTTCTGTGCTCGCACTGCCAGAACACCTGATGGGCCTCATAGTCTGCTTGAGGCTGCAAAGGTAGAACACGACCCATCAGCAGCTGGTCTTCCTGCCTCAGGACTGGACACGGTGAGCACTGGCCACCTGCGTCCCCTGGAGTCAGCTCTGGCAGGGCCCAGCTGCTGGGGAGGTGGCAGCAGGCGGGGCCCCCGTGTCGGCCCCTTTGGGAGGCTTAGGCTGGGGAGGGGCCACGTTTGGTGGCCACCTGCCTGTCTATGGCCAGCTAACAGCCACTGCGGCTCTCCCTTCCCTCCCTTGCAGGGTGCTGGCTCCAGTGCCTTCACCCCAAATGTCGTACACCCTCAGCTCCACCCCCGTCTGCTCTCCTGGCATCCCCTGTGACACCATGACATCGTCCATTCCCTAGCATCAGGACCTCCCCACCCTCCTAGAGTGGAAAACACAAATTCAGGTCCTTGTGTTCATCCTTAGCTGTGTGACACAGCCCACGTCACCCAGGGCCTGGGAGTCTCCCAGCTGTCAGCTGGGAGGAGGGGGTGGGAGGAGGGGCTGGGAGGAGGCAGCTGTTCACTTAGCACAGGGAAGGGAGCACCGGCTCTGAGCTCCAGCATGTGTGAGTCCCAGCCTGGAGCCCTCAGCTGAGCGACCCTGAGGACGTGACTGCGCCTCCTGGGCCTCTCTCAATGTCTGTAAGGTGGGGGCGATCCTAAGCATGGCTCACAGGGTCCTCATGAGGTCTGACAGAGGCCATGAGTGTTAAAGGTTAGGGCAGAGCTGAGCCAGGCCAGGGCTCAGGAGTGGCTTGCAGGTGGATCATCCTTGCTCTGGGTGCAGCCAACCCTGCAGGAGGGGCTCTAAAATTCTGGGGGTCAAAAAGATGGTGCACTATGGAGCCCGGCCTGCAAGCTGCCAAAGTGGGTGACTGAGAGGAGGTCGCTGTTAGGTGAGCTGGGTCTCCAGCTCCACGGCAGGTCGGGCAGGTCAGAGGCTGTGTGTTTGAGAGATGCCCTCACGTCCCGGCGCCTGACTCAGTGTCTTTTTTTGACACTCAGACACCGCACCTGACTGCCGTGACTTAAAGCAGGAGAAAGTTATGTTGGCACATAAGCTCAGAAGCTTTAGTACATCGCTCAGGGTAGAGACGGCATGGTGGGGGAGCCCCAACTCGAGAACAAAGCTGCTCACACAGGGGCGGTCAGGAAACAGACAGAAAAGTGAGGAGCCCAGGGACGGAGGTGGACCCTACCAGGCCGTGGTCCCATGACTCTAGCCAGATCCTACCTCCCCCTAGCAGGTCAGCTGTAGGCCCCTGTGAGTTAATCACCTTCCGATATCCCCACATTGCTGTTTCGTCCAGACACCAGGAGCTCACAAGGGAGTCATCCCAGAGTCTGAAGCACGGGTAGCTCATCCAGGCTTTGGCCTCCTGTGCCAGCCGCCTCCAGCCCTCTGGATTTTTACCACCCAGGTTTCCAGTCGGGTCTGCTGGGTCCAGAATCACAGGCCTGAGAAGCAATCAGCAGAGAGGGCTAGTGAGAGCCGGGCTCCATCCTGGGAGCTGACAGCAAGGACCCAGCAGGACACTGCTCCTGGGGGTGTCCCTAAGTCCTGTCCCACAGTGAGCAGCGGGCCTGAGCAGAGGGACCTTCAACAGGAACAGGGCTCCTGGCCCTCTCTGCCCCTGTCAGCAGTGTGCCTTGGGCAGGTCATGGTGCTCCCGGAGCCTGGGTCTCCTCTGTGGAAGGGGAGAGCAGAACATCAAACATGCCCGTCTCAAAGGGTGGGGTGCAAAGATGAACTGACTGAGACTCGGAAAACCTCGGCTCAGTGGCTGCAGGGAACAAGAACTCGGGTGCTCGCAGCCCGCATGCGTGCTAACACCCACTACCGCCAGCCTTCAGTCCCTGGCACGAGCTATGGTCACAGCCACTGCTGTTGTTCATTCCCTGTCCGGTGCCCGCTATTTCATGCACTTTCTGTTCTGTTTGGACAAGCTCCTTCCCACTGTCTGACGGTTGAAGATGAGCTCAGAACCTCAGTTTACCCATCTGTCATGGGGTGAATAAATGCCGGCCCCCTATTGCTGGACACCACGGTCCCCACCAAGTGGCAGCTCTCCAGTGCCCACGGCAGTGAGAGGCAGCAGGAAATGCTCAGCATACGCAGGGTGTGGGCCCTTCCTTGCTCCCAGGTCCCCTGCTGTACCCGAGGGGAGCATACCTGGGTTTCCCGAGCTGCTCCATCAGGTAGTTCTTGATAAAGGAGTTTTTAAAGTCATAATACTGCGTCCAGAAGACGCAGAGCTGCTTATGGTCCACAACTAATTCCAGGACGGTTTTGAATCCCTCGGCTGTGTTGAAAAGGTTTTGCCCACTGCCGTTTTCCCAAGCATAGATCGTCAGCAGCTCCAGAGCGTACTGTGCTGGCAGCGGCCCCCCAAGCTTCTGCTTACACTGAAAGAAGAAAAAACACAATCAGAAGACGGAGTTCCCAGCTTCCGTGTGAAGTGCATTCCTCGTGGCCTCATCCAGCCCGCTGATCTGCGTGTGTAAATAAAGTTTTTTTAGCACACAGCCACACCCATTCATTTATAGGTCACCCACAGCAGCAGAGGTGAGCAGTGTGACAGACACTGTGGCCCAGAAAGTCTAAACTACTTACCGGTTACCCTTTTAGGAGCAGCGTGTGATGACCCTGCCTAAGAGTTTCAGCTCTGGACTGTTTTTTCCATCCTGGAGATTGAACACAGGGTCTTTCCACTGAGCTACAACCCCAGCTCATTTTAAAAATTTGAGCTAGGATCTCCGCAGTTGCCTAGATTTGGCTTGTACTTGAGACCATCCTGCCTCAGCTTCCCAGAGTGCTGGGATGACAGGCGTGCTGCACCTGGCAAGCTCTGGATTCTTCCTGAGGTGGCTGTGAATCCCAGCCCCACTGCTGTGTGATGCCGGGCAGCTGACTTAGAGTCCCAGAGCCTCGTGCTTTTATTTTAGCAATGTTTTCTAAGTGCAGTGAGCAGCACAGAGATAACCAGGCTCGTAAGGGAATAAGACACAAGGCCGATGACTGGCAGGAGAAAAGGCCTCGTAAAAGTTCCAGAAAACTTAGAGTTTGAAGGATCGAGCACAGGCTTTACAGTGATTCTGGACATCATGACTAAGGCCTGAAACAGCAGGATCAGATGCCGTGAGAAGTAACATGCAGATTCAGGAAAGAAGCAAACAGGGAGCCCGTGATGAAAGTGGCAGCTGAAACTGACGACTCGGGAAATTAGATGCAGCCAAAGAGAAAATTGGTTCATGAGAAGGCAGAGAGCGAGGCATGGAAGCCCCTCCATCGCCCTTCCCTTCCCTCCTGCAGGGTCCCCCTCGCCTCCCTCTCCAGGTCTCCTGGTCCTCTGGGTCTTCTTCCCTTCCTCCGCCTCCCTCCCTTCCTTCCTCCACCCTCCCTCCCACCCCTCACACCTCCTCCCTGCCCTCCCCTGCCCTCCCCTGCCCTCCCCTGCCCTCCCTGCCCCTGCCCTGCTCCCCATCTAGACCGGACCGCAGTCCCCCAGGTGGCCTTACCAGCTGGTACCAGTGCTTGACCAGGCGGATGAGGCTCTTCAGCTTGGTCGGCCTGCACTTCACGAAGGCCTTCTGGAGCTCGGTGAAGCAGGTGGAGAACTCGCCCTCTCTGTTACGGGAGGTGCACTCCTTTATGAGCCTGATGTAGATTTCGGGATCAGGTCTGTAGTTTTTGGTGACCTGACCTGTTCGGGTGGACACCACAACTTCAAGATGTCAGCCCTCCCTGAACCCCCCGGGGGGCAATGCACTGATTGTGCAGGACAGCGGGAGGGGCGGCAGTTTTGGTGGCCTCAGGCGTGGTCACGTGCTATGTAACGTGTTAGGCAATGGCCAGGCAGCAGTGTTCTATGATTAATGTCTTTGTTCCCAAATTGGGTCCATCTGCTACCTAACATCCCTTTGGTATGGATTCCGACCTTACTCAGTCCCAGGAGAAGCTCCCCCATCTCACTACCCGCCAGGGCTGTGAAGTAGGACGTTTGGGCAGAGCTCCAACCACCGATTTCAGCAGAGGAGAGAAGAGAGAGAAAGAGCCCAGTGAGAGGAGAAAGGCTGAGGCCCGGAGCGGTGCTCACCCAGGGCGTCGTGGGCCGGCAGCACGTCAAACTCCACCATCCTCCCGGGGAACCTGGGGGAACTCAGCACAAAACTCAGCACCCTGGGGTTGGCCCACTTTGGGTTCGGGGGTTCAAAACGTATGTGAAGCTCATCATTTGAGCTCGCCAGCTGATACTCTTCCAGTCGTTTTCTGATTTCTGCAATGAATTCTCCCCGCCGCGAGATCTGCTCCTCAAAACTTCTGAGGTTTGTGAGGAAGACGACCAGGTCTGCATCAGACCGGCCTCGGAGGGCGGTGCCCTTGCCGGAGGAGCCCCCCTACAAAGGATAGGGACACAGCAGAAAGGACCCCCTCTCAGGTGCTGAGCACGGTCGCCAGCACTGCAGCAGGACCGCCGTCCCAGGGACCCCACTTCGTCTCTGCAGGGCCCCCCTCGAGTCTAAGAGCTAGGCACTGCTACTCTGGGCTGCGCATTGAGAGTTCCTGTTGTCCCTCACACAGCCGCCACCCTGGTCCTGCAGAGCTGGGCTCACCCACCTTCACCACCTTTGACACCCGCACGGGGTGGGGGGCACCTTGGAAACACTTTGCCTTCAGGAACTCGCAGATCAGATCGATGGCCTGTTTGACCTCTGTGCGGAACGCGGTGTCAGGCAGGAGCTGGTCTTCGATGAACCTGTCCAGGTCCTTGGCACGGGTGGTTCTGAGGTCCATGGTGGTGGGCATGAGCCCTGGGCCCGTGGGTCTGCAGAAGCGTCTCTCGGGATCACCTGGCTGGATTTCTTCAGCAAGCCGAGCTCTGGCTGACAGTTTCGTTTCCTTAGAAGGGAGGAGCTTGGCCTTCTGGGCGGGCAGACCAGCCCCACCCCTACCAGGGCCGGGCTTTCAGTCTTAGTGCTGTGTTAAACGTGCTTCAGAATAAATCCTACTTGGAAACAGGACATGTGGGGGGGGGGGGGAGTTTGGCATCTTTTTTTTTTTTCCTTGAAAAAAAAATTGTTTCATCATGTCCTGTGATTTTTAGCAGCAATGTATGAAAGTGTTTTGAAAAGGCAAAAAAAAAAAAAAAAAAAAAAAAAAAAAAGACAAATCCGGAAGTTGGAAAATCAGCTATGACCCTAAAATTCCAAACAGCCTACCACAGCAAACATTGGGTACAGAGCCCTTCGGAGGTTTTTTCTGTGTTAACACACATGAACAGAGTTCTCTTTTCCTTTTTAAAATATGGTACCAAGCCAGGTGTGGTGATACAGGCCCGTCATCTCAGCTCTTGGGAGGCTGAGGCAGGAGGATTTCTGTGAGTTCAAGGGAGCCTGAATTACATTGTGAGACCCAGTCTCAGAAAACTAAGTATCTTATTATTATACATTCCCTTTTAATTAATAGACTTTGTTTCTTGCAGCAGTTTTAGGTTTACAGATAATTGAACAGAAAATGCAGAATTCCCATAATCCTTCTCTTTCTACCATAGTTTCTCGCCATCACTGTCATTATTTTGTTCTGGGGCTCAAACCCAACAAACTCTGCACCACGGAAGTCTCCCCACGCTCCTGTATTATTAATATTGTCGTAGTAAATTGATCCCAACTGACCAGTTGATACTAACATATTGTCAATTAGTTTTCATTTCGGGACAGGGCCGCCCCAAGCTGGCCTCACGTTCACCATCCTTCTGCCTTAGCCTACCAAATGGCCGACACCGAAGGCATGCAGCCCTGGTCCTGGCTGCTTTCACAAATATTTATGGATTGTTTTTAAATTTTCCCTGTACTCAAAATAATTTTAAATCTCTCTCAAGACTGCTTCTGTGCCCCGTGTGTTATTGAGAAATGTCTTATCTAATCTTGATGTTTTTTGGGATTTTTCTAGCTGTCTTTGCTTTACTGATTTCATGTTTAATTCCCTGTAAAAAGTATTTTTTGAGGGGCTGGGGATTTAGCTCAGCGGCATAAGTGCCTGCCTTGCAAGCAGGCAGCCGTGAGTTCGATCCCCGGTACCGATAAAAAGGAAAAAGCCCCCCCCCCAAAGTATTTTTTGAGCGACATCTCTTATTTTAAACTTGTTGGGGAAAAAAGTAATGACAAAGAAAATAAAACTCTGCAATGTATTCTGATAAATGTTTCGAGGTGATTCGACCTTCTTCTGTGCTGTCACGCATGGATTTATGGTTTAGCCAAAACATTACCGTGCACAACTCTTCCCTGGACAGCTGCAGTGAATGTTTGTCCAAGGTTTGTCCTGCCCTCAGATGTCTATGGCAATTGTAGTTGTTAATAAAACTCAATCTTTCCAGTAACTCTATCGAGAATGGCTGCACCAGAGTCTACAAGAAAATGAGAACCGAGCTTTTGGAAACATACAGGAAAGGCAAGTTCCATAAATCACTGTGGAGAAGAGTGTAACAGCGAGACAAGAAAGTTGGGACAGACTGAGGGAATAACTGGAAAACTGCAGTGTCGCCCCACACCTCATACCGTGGCTGGTGGTTTTAAGCTACTGTTCCCTCTAAAGGAACAGAAACAGGAAACTACAGGTCACGTTCTAGTGTTATATGAGAAAATGACTCCCCGGGTGTGTAGACCCTCAGATTAAGGGCTGGGTCTTCTTTGAATGACTGGGAAATGGGCACATTTGTGGCTCTGACAATTAGAGGATCAGGACATTTCTGTGCCCCGCCCCCCACCTCATAGTGCAAGGATGAGAGAAGGGAAGGAGGTGACCTGCTCGAGCTCATGCAACGGATTTGGACCACAGCCAAGCAAATGTGGCCTTCCTGTGTTTCCGTGGGGCCGGTCTATCATTTAACCTCGTTAAGCCCCTCCCAGGTGAGTCTCTTGATACGGAGGAGGAGGCGCCAGCTCGGAAGGTCCTAACAGGCTTTAACTCACTTGGCAGGGAGGCAGGCACAGTTAAGTAGGCCTTGCTTCTCCCAGGAGCCGCCAGTCTCAAGAGCTGCCCGCTCCCTGGCTCCCCTTGGTCAGTGCTGCTGGGAGACCGGAGCAGGCATCTGGCTCTTGCTCCAACTCCTGCATAAATGCCTCCAGCCCTTGGGTGGATGCCCAGGGGCACCAGCTGGAGATTCGGTGCTCATCTGTGCCAGACCTGAAAGTCTGTTTTCTGTGTCCCTGAGCCCCTGCTATTCTTAGCTCTCATATCCCTTGTATATCACCAGTGCCACTTCAGAGGTGCTGTCCCTGATGTGTGTTCCTGTGGCAGCCTGAACCTAGGGGCCAGCAAATCGAGTGCCATTTATCAAGGCCACACTGCTGGTCAGGGGCTCTGTGTGTACTGCACAGTTGAAATGGTTCAGGAAATCTCTGCAGTGTTTATTGTTGCCCCCATTTTCCTGATGAGGAAACTGAGGCTCGGAGAGATGCAATGACTCGGTGCATTGCATGCGATCGGAAGGTGGGGTGATTTTTCTGGGCAGGTGCTTTCTGCTGTCATGCATGGGGACTGAGGAAGTCCCCCTGCAGAGGAGGTGGGAGCTTCAGCTTAGCCGAGACGGGTTCTGGTCGCAGCAGAGCAGTTCAGGATGGGTCTGTGCGAGGCGCTGGGATATTTATCAGGCAGACTTCTTCCCTTTGAACATTTATGTAAATCTAGGGCTAATCAGCCTTGTATCGCCAGCCCTCACCCGGACACACCCTAACCCACCTGCAGAGGCCTAACAGCCCCAAAGCTTTAAAATCATCACAGAAATGGACACAAAACAAGACCAAGTTTTGTTCAGCTTTTAGTGACCTGTTGGGTTTCTGTAGACTCCATTGAAGGGTCACTATTTTATAGCAAAAGCAGCTTTTAAATTCTGACTGCCTCAGAAGAAAACACAAATTGTGCTTTTAATGAGCAACAGGAAAGAAATTAGGTTTCTTTTCAGCTGCTGACTCTGCTGGCATCGCGGAACCCAAGAGATGAAAGAGGCCAGTGGGGAAAAACAGAAGGACTTTCCCCTTGGATGCTTCTACACTGTTTTAATTCAAAGCACGGCGAGGGTTGATATTTATTTTGTTATGGGGTTGGCCCCCTACTGGGCAGAAGGAGAACTGTAACAAAAGGGAAGAGAGACTTGACTATAGTGCAGGCTAGAGGGAGAGACCAGCTGAGACCGCCAGGCTGTATGAAAGCAACACGTTGTGGAATTGATTGCTTCTGGGTGCTGGGTGCTACCTTGTCTCTCTCACAGCATCATGCAGGCTAGGGGCTGAGCTGAGTTCCCTCTGGAGAGCAGTACCTCTATGGCAAGTGGGCTGGGGGCCGGCAGAGTCAGGTCCTGTTTGAGCCTCACACCTACACTGTCACTGTATCCCCATGCTGATCCTCAGGCTTCAGCTGTGTGTGGCCTGCTCAGCCTCCAGCACGACCAGAGCAGGGCTGTTGTATCTAATGGTGGCCCAATCTTGTTGCAGGATGTGCTGGTTTGGTGTTGGGAGCTACGGAGCTAGTGATTGTTCATATGTACAGAGCCAAAAGCACAGAGCACCCAAGGGATGCCCCCAGGGCATGGGGCACCCGAGGAACACCCTGAAGTCATGGAGTGCTGGAGGTGAACAGGTGCTCCCCTCAAGAACACAGGGTGTAAGAATTGAGCTGGGGAAGCAAAGGAGCGTCATATGACAAATGCATTAATAAATGCACTTATTTAGTGGTTCAGCAGTCTCTTCCTCCACCTGGAGAAGGGCTCCACCTGACCTCAGCTCTCTGATTCAATTTTTATTTTCTTCACCCTGTCATTGTTCTTCCCCCGGAAACTTAGAGGGCTCTCACAGATGCAACTTATGGCATCTGAATATGGACTGGCCCAAGAAGAAGCAGCAGGTGAGGGGATGCTTCTCAGTGAGCGTGCAAAAGGAGGAGGAGCACACTGACCGTGAGTTCATCAGGCGTAAAACTTGGGCAAGAGAGGGAAGGAGAGAGAGGGAGACAGAGGTGGGCTCATTAGAAAGTATATTGAATTTATTTATTTTTTTATTTTAAAGAGAATAAGACTAAGCAAAATAAAACAGAGTAGCCCCAATCAAAACAAACTGGTGTAGGTGACACAGGACTTTAAAACAATATGAAATCAACAATGGTCACCATAATGCCTCTTGTTGTCTTCTAAAATAGCTGCAGATACCTGCAGACATAGTAAAAATCAAACAAAACAGAACAGAATAGTAACCGACCAATAAAAGCACAACAATGAATGAAATCAAGGACTTTGAAACAAAGCAACAGTAAATCAAAATAGGTACCATAATACATCTCGTTATTTTTGATATAGTTATTCATACCATACCATTGTATATAATAAAATCAAACAAAACAAAACAGGATAAAACCCAACCCAACAAAACAATGAAAATGATACAGGACTTTAAAATAAGATAATAGGAAATCAACAATGGCTGCCACCTTCAGAAGGAGCGCCCCCACAGATGCTATATTGCGTACTGTTATGCTCTGAATAGATGATCAGACTACCATCTTTAGACCTGCAAAGTCAGTGAAACACTAAACACTGCAAGCGTTAAGTTGCATTTTACCTCAACTGCTATCCTCCAGCCTGTGTTTCCCTGATCAGCCGGTTGCTTATGGGTGGGGTGGGGTTGCCTCTTCTTGTTTCCCAGCCCGTGCACCGGAAGGGGCTGGCATCCAGCTCTCCTCACAGCAGCCTGCGCATGGTGCCGATTTGCAGGGTGGGCTCACTTCTTGGTGACTCTATGTTGAATTTAGAAAGTATTAAAACATGGGGCAAACAGCTCTTAAAGAACCTGTGTTTAGAAATTATGTATATAGACATTTACAGAAATGTTTGTTGCATTTTTTTCTGTGCT